CTCCCGGCCTCCCGCAGCCCCGGGTGGGCGGCCATGACGGCCGGCTGAAGGAGCGATGACCCCGCGCCTGCTTCACAGGTCGTGCCACGGGGTCAAGCGGCAGCAGCGTCGTGCACACCGTTTTCCTTACCAGTGTTAGAGAAATACGCCGTGGGTGGGTCTGTGCCGGTAAACAGGACACAGAAGTGACGCACGGATGAGGCTGAATGCGGGCCCGGAGCTTTCTCCCTCCGCAGACAGAAATCTCAGTTCCTCTACGCCCCCCTGCCCCCTCCCAAGAAAAGGCAGAAAAGACAAACCAGTCCTTACAAACAGCGACACTTGGAGCCGGAGACAACTGAGTTAACTTTATTCTCTTCTAACTGCAGATTCAAGGTATACAGCTGAACATTGCTATTTTTCTTATGAGACTTATAAATAAAAATACAAAAAAATGTTCACTACAAAAAAATCTACTGTTAGTAGGATGTAAAAAATATTCTCTTTGCTATAGAAGGCACAACTTCACTTAGTGACACATGGAGAGAAGACCTGCAGCAGGAAATTCATTTTTTTTTCTTTTAAATGTCATCAGAACACTGGAATTACAGAGAAACGCATCCATCTACACGAAACGAAGGCAGAGGCGCAGCGCAGAGCTCACCCCATGGAGAGAAGACCTGCAGCAGGAAATTCATTTTTTTTTTCTTTTAAATGTCATCAGAACACTGGAATTACAGAGAAACGCATCCATCTACACGAAACGAAGGCAGAGGCGCAGCGCAGAGCTCACCCAGGACCGCACAGCGTGGAGGGGACGGCTTCGGGGCAGGGGCAGATGGGGCTGGCAAGCACACCTGGGTCCCCAGGCTGGGGCAGGGGCAGGGGCAGAGGATAGGGTGGGGGCGAGTGGAACAAACCAACAGAGATGAAAGGGGAGGGAAGAGGGACGGAGCAGCGGAAGGGAGAGAGAAGGAGAGGGGGAGAGAGATTTGTACAAAAAAGTAACCAGTATAATTGAAGAAACAAAATTGGGCAACCTCCTAAAATTAGGCTAAGAGGAGGTGCTGAGGTAGACATGAACTAGAACAGCCATGAATTAAAACACTATCTGTAACACAGAGCGATCGGACTGGCACTTGACCAAAGACAAGCCACGAAAACAAACAAACAACAAAACGCAACAGAACACGCCCGAGCCGTAGGCTGGGCTTTGCTTGGTCCAGCAGGGCCGGGGCCCCAGTGCTTAACTTACATACATATATATATCTCTATATATTCATCTCTATATAGACGGGTCGGCGGTCACGGCACCGCCACCTGACAGGGGTCATGCGTGACACCGTGTGAACGAGTTCCAGGACACACGCCAGGGGGCGGGTACCCCGTCTGCAGAGCGGGCACCCGGGACGCGGGGAGCAGGGCGGCTGCC